CAGCAGTTCTTTAGTTCCACTCAATGAGCTGTGGAGAGAAGGGAAATCAAATGCCAGAGGATGATGGCGTGAAGCAGAACAGATCCAGCCCTTGTAACAAGGAGTTAGCTCTGGGGAAAGCAGGCTTGAAGAGAGAGACCTTTAAACAAATGAACCGGTGTCGTAAGAATCAAAGAGACAGGAGTCTCTCCTGGCTGTCCTCGACAGGCAAAGTGCCCTGAACTCCTGTCTGTGCCAAGTCCCTGCCCGAGACCTACATGATGTCATTATCTTTTGGAGGAGGGAATCGGAGGAACTTTAAAGCTCCTAATTTCTTGCCATGAATCTGAAGGAGAACAGATGCCAGACATTTCCTGCACATCATGTGCTCCTGGACAGACCGTGTTACGCTGCAGGTAGCAGTGCTGGCTCTTCAGCCCGGGCTTCCCACAGGATGGTTCTCATGGCAGCAGCAAAAAGAGTCTTTCAGCTCTACCAAATGATCTGTTTAGAAGAACAGAAGGAGATTTGGAACAGGAAAGCTCCCAAATCACTCTCAAAGCTCTCAGTCAGGCAGCTGAGCAGATGCCAGACCCATAAGCTTTCCAGCTACCTCCTCCTTGCACAGATACTATTACACCAGCCACCGTCAGCTCCGTGTGCTGCTCAGTGAAGGACACGTCCGTGGGTTACATGACTGGGAGCAGGAGGGATCCTTTTTCAGGACTCCATTTACAGGCATCGGATTATAGTGGCAGTAACTCGAGCCAGTGTATACATACCCAGCTGGACGTGGAGCCAGATTTTCACGTTTGGCCACTGACACTGTGGCCATATTTTCTTAATTCTCTGTCAGACTCCTGAAGAGAGTGGGACAGTTTTCCAAGAAGGTCATCAGCCCCAAATAGAGCTCAGCTATTAAAAGCTGTTAAGCCACTGAGAGAATATCACCAAAGCCCCTGATAGGAGACCCAGACAGGTCTCCTTAAACATGCTCATGTATCTCTAATCAAGTTTCAGCTTGCAGAGTCTATTCCTTCCCCTGCCTTCGGCTCAACTCCAACCTCAGGATATACAGAACATTAAAGCTGAAGATAAACGTGTTCCCAGTCATTCCCTTAGGTCCAGGATGACCAGACCCGATACCTCTCACCCCGCTTTTGAAAGGAAGAAACTCCACCATTCTCTCTCTAAAGCAGAAACCAAAGGAAGAGGAGGAGAACAGGTTCTCTCCTAATGCCTCCCAGACTGGGCATTGGAAGCAACACAACTGAAAGTAGCAGTTGGTGATTCATTGATTCCTCCTTTAGATTTTAAGCCAAGTCAAGCAGGTAAACTTTTGCCAAGACGGCGAGGTAACAGCTCAGACCTTGTAAGAAATAAAGCCACCATTGAGCCACCTGGTTGTGGCGCAAAAGCTCGCTCCCCTCTAGCAAAGTGAAAATAAAGGGTTACTTCTTGCTGCAGGCATTTACGTACAAAGGGGTTGTTGATTTTGTTCTGCTTGCTTTTTTGCTGCTCCCAGAGGTTTGATATTTGACACAGCCCAGTTTGGGCAGGGCCCTGGTATAGGCCATTGACATGTGCTGGCATCAGAAGTACATTCTCTTTTACAGGCCCTGGAGCATGAGCTGAACTCCAAAAGGATCAAGCATTGGGTAGGAGTCTGAAGCTGCTTACCATGTCCAGGATGGAGATGGCTGCATTTAGATGTAGACTGCTAGGAAGGAGTAGATAAGATGGCTCTGATCTTCATGATAAAATGCTTATCAAGTATATAGAGCTCTGAGCAAAAGCAGGCAGTTGTTAGGAGAACCGGCTGAACTGCTGTCAGGAGGTACCATTTATCACTGGAGTGAATAATCTGGAGTGACTGCTTTGTCTCATGTCTTGCCAGCGTGAAAACCAGGGTTTGCTCTGCAGCAAAAAAGTGCCTAATAGAAAGGAAAGATTTGGAAAACCTAAATACATCGGAGATGGTTCAAAATCTCCTTTTCTAGCAGATTAATAAGGGACCTATGCCAAGGCCACACACAATTTAGGCCAATTTTTGCCCAAAGCCCCTGGAATAAAACTAGGAATATTGCAGAGACTGCACACGATAACATGGACCCAGGGAAATTAAGTTTCTGTCTTTAAACTGACTACTCAAGCCCATTTTCCCCTGCAATAAATACTGACTATGCTGGTAAGGAAAGGCAGAAAAGGCAGAAAAGACAGAAAGTGAGCCTAAATTCTTTGTTAGAGATACAAGCAGGTGATTTAAACTTTCTGGCCTGCAAGCACATTTCTTCCTGAAGCCTTACAGAAGACTGCTAGAAAACACTCCAGAGACACCATTTGGAAGAGCAAGCAACATTGACACCTACTGTTGGGTATTTTAATTGCTACTGACTACAAGATTCGTGTAAAGCGGGAGGAAGGTGCTTTCCTAAGAGAAAACTACATTCCAATACTTTTATTTTGCTTTCATTTTGCCTCCTGCAGTGCTTTCAAGGTGCACTTAATCGCAAATTGAGAAGCTGCCATGTGTGGGGAAACTTTGTCCTTCAACTTCATTGATTCCTTCATTTAATTCATGGAATTAGATGATTCCTTGGGAGAGAGTGTTTTTTTATGAGGCTAGCTGATAAAAATGAAAAAGCTGAAAACTAATGGTGCTAGTATCAGACAAGGCTCAGTGAGAGCATGCTAATTTCTCAGGAGATTAAACCCTTCTAGCTCATAAGGAAATGAGGTGCATATAGAGACCTCTTGGAGCATATCAGAAAGCACCACCCAGCCAAGAACAGAGCACAGGTCTAAAAGAAAGAGTATGTCACATTTTACCATAGTGCCAGATCATACATAACACCTTAAAGTGTCACCTTAAAGTGCTTCACACTAAGAAGTTGATCATTGTGATTTCCTTCATGCAAGCTGTTTTTTTCCAGCCCACTAAAGAGGACTTAGACATAGGATGACATGAACTATCCCAATAAAAAATTTAGCAAGGTGGTAGAAACAGCTTACCTCTGTGTCGTCCCTCCAAACATAATGCTTTTCCTCCTCAGAAACTTCCAGCAAAGTTGCTACAACAGACTTTCCACAATTCTGAATACCTCCCTATTGTTCATATGAACAATTTGTGAAAATATATGATAGAAAAAGGCTCCAGAGCCAGAAAAGTAATGACCATGACTGGTTGATCATATGAGCTCTGGCAACACAGGATCTACATGTTGACGTATATGCAGACATATCTGGGGTAAATCCCCACAGGAAAATTCACATGGAATCCCCAAGATACCACTCCACACCAAGAAAAATATACTGACAATAGATTTTCTCTGTGGCGGCAGGACACGGTCTGCCTGCAGTGAGGAACATCAGATCAGCAGCCCAAAACACTCATAGCTCCCACCAAGAAGGCATTTCTCTGAGCTCAACAGCATCTTGGCATTGCCAATGGGATGGAAAGCAGCCTCCCTGCACTTGGAAACCCAAACCCAGACCTTCCATACACATCTCCCCAGCCAAGGGCCCCTCTCCCCAGTACATCTCTCTGCATCGCTAACAGGACCCTGGGCTGTCGTGACGCTGCCACCAGCACAAATGCCCGAATCGGCCGCCAGCTCCAACCTCCCGGGACCAGGAGAGCGATACCCAGACCTCTGCAGCCAGATAAGGTGAGCACAGGGCTCTCCAAAACACGTGCCACCATTGCATTGACCTTCACATTTCTCCCCAGCTGGGCCTGCCACAGGGACCTGCCTAATCTCCACGGCAAGAGCTGGGAGAGCAAACAACCTCTCAAAAGCAATGGCTCGTGTGCACCGAGGTTGGCAAGGCCAGGACGGCTACGGTCTTTGGGAAAAGAGCAGTTTTCAGAGAGTTTGCTGAGAGTCAGTTGTCAGACACATCTCACGTGGGATGGGTGCAAGGCTGTGCAAGTGCTGTGCCTGACTCTGACAAACCTGTCGTCATTCACCATATTTCACCCACTCCATAAACGAAATGAATCTAATGAACTTTAGTGGCAGATCAGTGAATTCAGTGCCAGCACCTGATAGGGGCAATTCTGAAGGCGTTTTCCTGGCATCCACTCAACCAAGTCTGGGTGACCGTCTGGAAATTCACCTTCACTTCATAACTAAAATTAAAGAACAACTTGATGCAGAGCAACTGGTCATGTGCACGCTGTGTTTTACTGGACTATTTGCAGTAGCCCTGGCAGTGCCTACTGTACAGAGACTTATAATTAAGAAAGTCATTTTGAGCACCTCAAACGGCCTTTTAAAAAATTTCATTCAGATATGCTTAGAAGAAAGATATTGCAGTCTGAAAACAACAAAATGAGGGAAGCTCATGTAGAATTAAAGACATTCAGATAATTTCACTCAATGGAGCTTCACAGAAGGCTAAGGCAAAACAGGAATTCTTGGCAACCCAGAGGGCTCTCACTTTGGGAGAAAGCCGAGCAAAAAGAGGAGGGAAGAAGTGTGAGAGGAAATGACACCTTATGATGCTCTGTCCCTGGGCTCTCTCTCATAGAGCTTGGCCTCCAAGAAATAAAGTTCCTGCCTAAAGAAAATGACCTTGGCAAGTGGGAGAATGACAAGGAAGAAGCTGACTTGGTTTCCTTTACTGTTGGGACACCAGGATGTGCTGTGAGCCCAAACCCTCCTCAGCCCTGGCACATTGACTGCTCCAGCCAAGGAGAAATAAAACCTTGTACCCACCTTGGGTCTGGCAGTGCCGGCCACCTCTGGGCAGAGACAATGACAGCGCAAGGTGAACACTTCACCCACCCCTCACTGCGTAAGCACCACTGTTGACACAAAGCCCGTCGCTTTAAATAACATTTGTAAGATGGAAACCCATCTAATCTTGTTCTTCCACTGTTCTTGCAGCACCACAGCATGGCACAGCCTGATATTGGGGATGTCTCCTCCACCTGGAGCGTTAAGGCCCATTGTACTGGTATCACGTTTGGCTGATACTCATCTTTACCAACTTTTGTAATGTTTGTCCATCTTTGCTGACACAAGACTGGCAGGAAGTGAGAGGAGCGTATAAAAGTGGGAGACGGTCTGCACCACATCAGTTCTGGTCCAAGATGGCCAAGCTCACCCTGCTGACCGGTAAGTCCTGCTTCAGAACTTACTTCTCTGCCTTTTCCACAAGTATTTGGGGCTCTTTCACTGTTTAAGGTCGGATTGGGTTCAGTCTGGTTCTTTCTAAGTACAAACACTTACACCTTTGATCTTTACTTTTTCTCCTTATAGGTCTGGTTCTCCTGCTGAATGCCCAGATAGGTATGTGCTTTCTATCCCAAAAACTACCCTATCAAACCCTTTTCAGAGTCAGCCGTTAGGTTGGTCTTTGCAGAAGCTTTCAAAGACAGGTCCAACAGGCAGCACAGCAAACACACAAAGAGCCTGCCACCTTCCAGGCACCTCACCAGAGATCCCTCTGCTTCTGTTCTTCCTTCTGTGGCAGCAAAGGAGAAAGAGTCCCTTTGGGGAAGAGACCCAGCACTCAGAACCACCCTCATTCATGAGTTTTAGGGTGCAGGAACCTCCTAGACCAGTCTATCTACTGAAAGAGTAGAAAGAACAGAAATCCCTTTGATTCTTGGAGAGCCTCTTCCCAAAGGGATAACCAACCCTACTTCCCTCTCTCCGAACTCCCTGCCCTGCAGGGAAACACTGCCCAATCCCTTCTCAGCAGATCCAGTACCATCCTCTGCCTCACGTTAGAAACACCTCTGAAATGCAGCCCAAATCTCCCCCACTCCCTCTCTGTCTCTGCAGGCACTGCCTATGTGCTGTCATGTTACTTCACCAACTGGGCCCAGTACAGGCCTGGCCTGGGAAAGTTCATGCCAGATGACATCGACCCCTGCCTGTGCGACCATCTGATCTACGCCTTTGCTGGGATGAACAACAACGAGATCACCACTTACGAATGGAACGACGAGACCCTTTACAAATCCTTCAACGGCCTGAAGAACCAGTACGTACCGACAGCAAAGGCCATCCCTGGTTCTCCCTCCCAGGCCCTCCCAGCAGCTCTTCTCTGCACAACGGCAGCACCATCCATGGCTGAGGGATCCCGAGGAGAAGAGGCAGAGAGTGATGGGCAGGGGAGGGCAGGGGAGGACAAGCTGCCAGCGCCGGGCCTTTGAGGGTGGTGACATTGGCTGATGGCACTCCAGACTTGGTCTTTCGGTGTCACAGCAAGAGATCACAGCCTAGAACGGCAACTACAGCTGATATTTTTTTGCCATAAAAACATGATCCTGTCCCTCTTTTTGCAGGAACAGAAATCTGAAGACCCTCCTGGCGATTGGAGGATGGAATTTCGGGACAGCCAAGTAAGTTCATACTTCCCATCACGGCACCCTGGAAGCGGAGGGAGAGGGGGCAAGAGGCACCAGCCAAACCCCAACTCTCTCCTGCTCTGCTTCCATAGGTTCACCACAATGGTGTCCACACCCGCAAACCGCCAGACCTTCATCAAGTCCGTCATCAAATTCCTGCGCCAGCATCAGTTTGATGGGCTGGACCTTGACTGGGAATACCCTGGGTCCAGGGGCAGCCCAGCCCAGGACAAGGCTCTCTTTACCGTCCTCGTTAAGGTAGGGTGAAACAACAGGCTTTGGTCAAGCCCTCTGCTCTGCACAGCTCTGGCCAGAGCCCTGGACAGATGAAAAAACCTCAGTCCAGGCCAGAGAGTCCACAGTGAGACCCGTTTCTTGGCATCCCTCAGGAACTGGTGGCAGCCTTTGAGCAGGAAGCCAAACAGTCCAACAAGCCCCGTCTCATGGTCACCGCTGCTGTTGCTGCAGGAATTTCCACCGTTCAGGCTGGCTACGAGATTCCTGAGCTTGGAAAGTGAGTAGCAAACCCCCAGGTCTCATTTCTGTGACTTAAATGGTCTTCCTTCAAATGGTTGAGGGAAACTCTGCCACTATCTGTCAGAAACCAGCACTTCAAGGCCAGCTCAAAAATGGTCTTGAAGAACCCAGATTTGCAGAAAATGGGGACATGGCCAGGGATGTGGTGGGGTAAACGTCTGGCACTACAGAAACCTTTGGGTCTAGATGACTGAATAGGCCAGGAGATAGATGTGTGCCATGTTCTCTACAGGTACCTGGACTACATCCACGTGATGACTTATGACTTCCACAGCTCTTGGGATAGAGTCACTGGTGAGAACAGCCCTCTGTACGATGGCTCCAACACTGCCACTCCACACCAAGAAAAACATAATGACAATAGATTGTCTCCGTGGCGGCAGGACACGGTCTTGGCAGTCACAGCCAACTCAGTGTTGTAAGTACCTTTTGGGAGCCTCTGCCAGAGAAGTCATATTCCTGCCTACAAATCCTGGCATACACTTGAACTGTGCTGTTTCTTTTATAGGAATATGCTATGAACTATTGGAAGAACAATGGTGCTCCATCTAAGAAGCTCCTTGTTGGATTCCCAACCTATGGACGTAACTTCAACCTCCAAAACCCATCTAACACCGCTGTTGGGGCACCAGCAACTGGACCTGGGCCAGCTGGACCTTACACAAAGGAAGCTGGATTCTTGGCTTACTACGAGGTATGTGTGCTCCTACACATGCTGGCCACCAAGAACACAGGCACCCTTCAAACTGCCCAGCAGGGAATGCTTAACCCCTACACCCATGGAACATGCCAAGTGCCCTCTTCTGTAGGACACTTGCTAACTTCTCCCTCTCTGCCCTTTTCTTCCTAGATCTGCACATTCCTGGACAATGGAGCCACCCAGGCTTGGGATGCTGCTGAGGACGTGCCCTACGCTTACAAAGGCAGTGAATGGGTTGGCTATGACAACATCAAGAGCTTCAACATCAAGGTACGGGGGGATGTGTGGCCGTGCCAGTAAGAAGGCAGGAGGCCTTCTGCAGCAGCAGGTCCCCAGACTAATTGGGATCTCTCCCCTGGCACTGAACAGGTTGACTGGCTGAAGAAGGGCAATTTTGGGGGTGCTATGGTTTGGGCCATCGATCTGGATGATTTCACTGGCACTTTCTGCAAGCAGGGAAAATATCCCCTGATCACCACCCTGAAGAATGGTCTTGGTCTGCAAAGCAGTGGTGAGTAGCTTGAGTAACATGGGAGTTGTGCTTATAGCATCAGTTATAAAAAGCTGGTGTGCTTGTGGTGCTGTGGAATCAGGCATGGAGGGTAAGGACAAGAGTCCATTATCAATATAATCCCTTCTCAAAAGATAACCTCTTTCTACTTTCATTTCAGGCTGCAGGGCCAATTAATCGTCCAGTCCCCAAGTCCCTGTAGCTCCCAAACATGGAAGTTGGAGAATGAGCACGAGCTGGAGTAACAATTCAACTAACTGTGGTGGGAGTGGTTTCTGTGCTGGGAAAGCCAACAAGACTCAACCAACCAGAGCTGCTTTTACCAACGTTTGAATATCAAAACTTGTTTCAAAATTGCTGTGACAATCCTATCTGTAATACCAGCACTCATGCTACAACTGGCCATGAAGATACCAATCCTTTTACAGCAAAGATATCCCTCTGATCTTATAGCATCTAATAATAATGATTAAATAAAGTGTTCTGCAAAAGCAACAATCCTTGTTGTTTCAGTTCATCTCAGTCTTAGTATTTTGATGCTCCATGAGTCTCCTGTGATATTCAGTCTTATGCTCAGGGAAGAGCCTGAATCCACAAGTTGCATTTTAAACAGCCATAAACTGGCGTTTCCAGGGCTTTCCTGATGTACCAGCGGGGCAGAGAGGGGAGGGGAAAAAGGCAGAAGTAAGAGACAAAGCAGATCTGGCTGTGCCATGAGAGAGCACAGAGAGAAGGGTCACAGGGGCACAACCAGGACACTCGCTCCCCACAGAGCCCTTGTGCAAGGCCTCTACATTTGTCCAGGAAAAAGCACGCTCCTCCTGGAAAAAGCACCTTCCAAAATAACCAGTCTGCAAAGCCCCCACAGCCCTGGTGCTCAGGCCATGAGGCATCAATCACTCCCTGCTGCGGGAATGGTTCAGCTGGGCACGTCCGAATTCACAGGCAGAGTCCTGATGTGTCCCAGAGCCTCCAAAGTCCTTTCCACGGTCTGAGCACCAGGGACACTCATGGCCCATTGTGGCAGCCTAAGGGTGGAATCACCAAACTGCTCCTTCTCCTCTCCCAACAAAGTTTCATTTCAAAGGCACCTGTTTGGAGAAGAGAAATGAGTGGGAGTGACTCTGCTGCTGCTGCTCAGGCACTTCTGCCCTCCCCCTGATGTAAATGGTGTCTTAAAACATGAGAGGTTTCTGCTTTTAAACAAAAAAAACAGTCTCAGATACTCACTGGAAAACACACTACAGAATAAGAAAGGCTTTGTGATAACAGCAAGAGCAGACCAGTGTTTCCTACCAGACGCACAAATAAGAAAAACCAGTCTCAAAGCAGGACAGCCACGGCTTTGCAAGAGTTTGTAGGCTGTTCCCACCACAGAGTATCAGTTTCGCTCACACGTGCTGGGGGAGCAGTTCACCCACGCAGAGCACTCAGTCCCACGCAGCACTTCAGCCGCGACGGAGAAGCAGAACTGATGCAGGAGCCCTGGGGACCTGCCCAAGAGCATCAGCCTCCACTACACTTGGGCACGCTTGGCTTTCAGAACAGCTCCTACCAACAGGCAGAAGTGCAGAAAAAGTGCTCAAGAGTCTTCCATCACCTGCAGACGTCAGTTGCTCCAGGTTTTTGTCCTCAGCTTCATTGGTCATGAATCATTTTTTCAGAAACAGACTCTGTCAGGGAAGCAGAGAGAGCTGGAAAACCAGGAGGCTTCTAGGTGCTGGGGGCTGTAGCACACAGGCAAACACGGGCCAGTCTCAGAGTGCTGGGGAGTCACAGATCTCCACACACAAAGCCTGGCAGCAGAGAAACCTTTGCACTAATCCAATGGCCTCATGACTGATCCTATGAGCTCTGGCAACACAGGATCTACATAGAGACGTATATGCAGACATATCTGGGGTAAATCCCCAGAGGAAAATTCACAAGGAATCTCCAACACTGCCACTCCACACCAAGAAAAACATAATGACAATAGATTGTCTCCGTGGCGGCAGGACACGGTCTGCCTGCAGTGAGGAACATCAGATCAGCAGCCCAAAACACTCATAGCTCCCACCAAGAAGGCATTTCTCTGAGCTCAACAGCATCTTGGCATTGCCAATGGGATGGAAAGCAGCCTCCCTGCACTTGGAAACCCAAACCCAGACCTTCCATACACATCTCCCCAGCCAAGGGCCCCTCTCCCCAGTACATCTCTCTGCATCGCTAACAGGACCCTGGGCTGTCGTGACGCTGCCACCAGCACAAATGCCCGAATCGGCCGCCAGCTCCAACCTCCCGGGACCAGGAGAGCGATACCCAGACCTCTGCAGCCAGATAAGGTGAGCACAGGGCTCTCCAAAACACGTGCCACCATTGCATTGACCTTCACACTTTACCAAACCTCGGGATTTGACCAACTGACATTGGTTACCACCACATGCAGACAAACCCGTGTCCTTGCTCCGTCCCCAAATGCTCTCCTTTTCACTCCCAAACATACCTCTGCAGATAACAGACCGGCCAGGCTCCAGAGGTCGCTCAGGGCGGGATTTTCCACATCTAGTCCCATTGAGTTTGTTCTGTGCTACTTTATCGACCAAGAAACACAGTGGAAAAGTACTCCTTGAAGATGGTTGTCCCTTTCGTTATCTGCCGTATCTCACCCAGTGTGTGCCAGGGTCGGTCAAATGCATTTTAACCTGCAGGTCAGTGACTTCAGTGCCAGCACCTGATACAGGCAACTTTGAGGCTGTTTGCCAGGCTCCCATTCAACCAAGTCTGGGGGACTGACTGGAAATTCACCTTGACATCATCTTAGCAGGAATTAAGCAACATCTCAGTGCCGAGCAACTGGCCACGTCCCTGCGGGGTCTCACTCCCCCATTGACACCAGCCCTGGCAGTGCCTGGTGTGCAAAAGGAAAGAAACCACAGATCTCTTCCAACAAAAAACAACAATTACCACTGAGAAGCTCATGTAGAATAAATTTGGGAGAAAGCTGAGCAAAAAGAGGAGGGAAGAAGTGCGAGAGAAAATGACCCCTGCCTGATGCTCTGTCCCTGGGCTCTCTCTCATAGAGCTTGGCCTCCAAGAAATCGTGCTTCTGCCTGAAGAAAATGACCTTTGCGAGTTACCTTGGGTCTCCCAGTGCCTGCCACCTCTGGGCAGAGACAATGACAGCGCAAGGTGAACACTTCACCCACCCCTCACTCCTCACTGTTGACACAAAGCCCGTCGCTTTAAATAACACTTGTAAGATGGAAACCCATCTAATCTTGTTCTTCCACTGTTCTTGCAGCACCACAGCATGGCACAGCCTGATATTGGGGATGTCTCCTCCACCTGGAGCGTTAAGGCCCATTGTACTGGTATCACGTTTGGCTGATACTCATCTTTACCAACTTCTGTAATGTTTGTCCATCTTTGCTGACGCAAGACTGGCAGGAAGTGAGAGGAGCGTATAAAAGTGGGAGACGGTCTGCACCACATCAGTTCTGGTCCAAGATGGCCAAGCTCACCCTGCTGACCGGTAAGTCCTGCTTCA